GTCAATATAACAAAAGGGCTTACATTAATCAGATTCCGCCCTTACATTAATCAGATTCTGCTATATTTTCAACAGCACACAAACAAAATTGCCCTTGGATGACATAATACACAAACAACAAAAAACTAACCAACAGGTATATATAATGTACCTAATCAAAAAAACACAAAATAATAGGGCGGGCGGGAGTGGCAAAATTTAACATTCCATGAAAAACGTGTCATACAAACTGTACCAAAAACTAGTTGAGCGGCTTATTTATAATAACCGCGGATGAATACAAAAAATCAGTCAAGCAAATCAAAACAAGTCACTGATTTTAAAAGGGAGACTATAAGCCAGGTAACAGACGTAATAATAAAAAGCCCCTGTCAATATCGATAATTAAAAGATTTTATGTTTTACAAAAAATACTTCAAATTATCTCAAAATCAGAAGCAAACTCCAGGAAATAATGTACCAAAATATATTTATTGATTTATGTATGACACTTAAGTAAATAAAACTCAATATTACTTAATAATGGATTAATGTAAGAACTAACATTATAGAACATAATCCATGATAATTTATAAATGTCCAAAGTCAATATAACAAAAGGGCTTACATTAATCAGATTCCGCCAAAACCCGCCAAAACATAAAACATAAAGCAAAAAAAACAAAAAAACAAAAAAAACAAAAAAAACACAAAAAAACAAATCACTGACAAAATACATATCAATCAATGTTACAAATTTAACAAATCTAAAAATCACAAAAGAATGCAGCAAAATCAAAACTATATCAATCTCAACAAGACTAGGGTAACGTCAAGAAAACCATTACCACAAGTCTTCTAACCTCGAAGAAGTGACAAAAACCTCCTTCAAAAGGTAACAAAAACGTGTAAGACATAAAGCTACTGTCGAACCACGTACAAGAAGTCTAAAGGAATAAGAACAACTCCCTTTAAAGACTATGCATCTGAATCAAAATAAAGCACCATGAACAATTTTGACAGAGCTACATTCATTGAAATTATAACAAACTTATATACAGACATAAACTTAACATATAAACATGAATATATACATATATAACATACAGTGCTACATGCTGAGCAAACAACATCTTACAGAACCACTTTACCTTTAATCAAATGCGACACAGTATTAATGAAAAAACGACGTAATAAACGCGTGCCTTCTAAATTCAAATGAAGACCTTTGTCTTTAACAGCAAATAGTGAACGAATTGGTTTACCAAACTTGAAAAAAGGCCTAAATGAATGAATAAATTGACAATTCCTTTCTTTACATAGACCTTCCAACAACTTATTGACTTGTTTAACTTTCGCACTTGTATCCATATAATCACACGGACGAGGCAAAATAGAAGAAAAGACAATATGAGTATGAGAATTAATACTCCTAATCAAAGTAATCAGATTATTGAAAAAACTAATAATCTCATCAACTGAATAATTCTCCCTAGAATTAATGTCATTAGTGCCAACATGAATAATTGTGAAAGGTTTTGACACCAAAAAATGAGCATTCTGTATCCTAGCTGAGAGACGGGCTATGTTAATCCCTGGGAAGGGAAAATTTAACATTCCATGAAAAACGTGTCATACAAACTGTACCAAAAACTAGTTGAGCGGCTTATTTATAATAACCGCGGATGAATACAAAAAATCAGTCAAGCAAATCAAAACAAGTCACTGATTTTAAAAGGGAGACTATAAGCCAGGTAACAGACGTAATAATAAAAAGCCCCTGTCAATATCGATAATTAAAAGATTTTATGTTTCACAAAAAATACTTCAAATGGCGAACACGGCGTGATTTTTTGAAACGGGTGAACGAATTTTTGCCAGGCAAGTGGGTTTCTTTGTTATTTTGAAGTCCATTAGTATGTCTATTTCATAATGCAATATATATGCCACACTCGGTTAAAGGTTTCAGCATCCTAGATTCTGTTTTGACGAAGCTATTGAAGATATAAACTGATCATGTAGATATTTTGAAATTTGACATGTGACTGTTCTGGCCGGTTTTTCTCCAAATTTATTCGAATTTGTAAGTTTTGAACTGCATTTAACAATAACAAAATATGTTTGTCAATGCTGTACAAATGGTTAAGTTCGCAAGTCCGAAGATAACGTTCAATACACAAAAATATCTTGTTCAAGCACATTTTGGTTGCAGACTTATACTTCACGAATTTTTGGTTGCAAACTTATTCTTATTCTATTGAAATCCATAGTAAAACTTAGCAAAAGGAGTGTAGAAGGTTATATCTATTAACCTATTTTCAATGGCAATTATTGCCATTTATGTTCTGTTACTTCTTTTTGTTATAAATGTCATTTATACTTTCTTCTTTTACAACAATTATGCACTTTATTATGTTTCAAATTACATGGTTCTCAGTTCAGTACTATAACCATCAGTAAAAGCATGCAAACAAAATAATAGCATATAGAAAAATATTTATTGATACTTCAATTTTAAAATATGTCATCATATGTAAAATGCAAATGAAAACTACATACAAAACAAACGTATGTGAGAGTACTGTTGTATTTAAGTGAATTATTTTCATCATAAACATAAGGACATGTGCACACATACTGTTACCCTCGGCTAACGCCTCGGTATTTTCCTCGGGAATATATTTTTACTGTTACCCAGGAACCCATATGTTATTTATATACTAGCTTTTCACCTGAATGTGGTGGTGGATAGGAGCTTCTTTTCAGTGTATTTAAAAGCTTTTTGTGTGGTGCTTTTGTTTGCATCTGTGTATGGCTTTTTTGTCACGTACGTGTCTATTATCAGAGTTAGTTTTGACCTTGAAAATTCGGTTAGTTATTTCATAATATCTTTTCACATAAGAAATAAAAACAAAGCTTCCTATTTGTGATCGGTTTTACAAGTTAATAACCTAAGGGAATGAAACATTAAACAAAATAATCACCCCTAATATGATATACCTGATGGAATAATTATGCTGACCTTGCATTTTCAAGGTATTTTTAAATTATTATATTATTATTACTGATCCGGAACTCCCATACTAGGTAAATGCTGGAAATGCTTAACACGTTTGCTGAAAGAAGAGCTAAGGGTAATCGTTCACTTTCGGTCAATTTCTTTCAGATGAGATAAATGATACTACACTTCCTCCCTGTAAAATACTTAATACCATTAAACGAAGATGTAACGATAGTAAACATGGTTGAACTTATAATTTTATAAACTTATTGTCATACTGAGTTACTAGTTAAGTGTACTATAAGTGAGCAGTCAACAAGTATTGAACAAAAATGCGTATGTTGTTTAGAGCAAGAATGGACACTTCAAAGTGATCTCAGCTGAATGGATTCGAGAGTGTTTCAAGCGCTTATAGCTACCAACCCATCGAACTAGTAAAATAAATGAGTGAGACTAAAAAATGTGCACCACAATACATGCCGTATTCCGGTAAATATCGGACAACACGCTTGAATGATTAAATGCTTCACCCGCCGAAATGCACTTAAAGACGCCTTATTCATCTGTTCACAAAAGTTATTTATTTATTTATTTATTTATTTATTTATTTATGAATAAGAAATGTAACAATCGGCGAAAATAAACGATGTTTTCTTTTCTATTTTGGGATGCGTCTGGTGGTATTGCCCCAACACCGTAGTGAGTAAAATCAAAAATAAGTTCGTAAGAACTGTTTGGTGCCAGTTTAGCTTTGTTCACAGCTGATTTTCATAGAAACAAATGAATAACATACAGTTCTTGTATATCAAGCAGTAGTAAATTTGTTTATACCGCCTGTTTATATGGCACCATAACGTTTACTTTGTTACAAGAAGTCAATGTCTTATGTTTTTGTTTTCATTTACTTGCGGTAAAGATCTATACAACTGCATCAACAAAGGCGATAACGTACTTGTCAAATATGACAATCAAGTGCACAAATCCATGACAATTGATAAAGATTATTCGTATTAATGCGTTTATAATTTGAAATTGAAAATAATTGAATGACAATTTGTGTATTTAATTGAATTTCGGAAGTTTCATTAGACCAGCTGTACCTACAGGCTGTGTATATTTGAATGCAATTCTCACATTGAATTCTTGATGCGATTTTTCCATTTAAAAATTCAGAATTGCATCGCAAATAGATATGATCTACTAATATTTAATATTGCATGATTACTTTTTTCAAATGAGTTGTAAAGCTCTAGTTTATTGTGTTATATTGGTTTACAAACGAATAGGCGTATTGATATAACAGCATCATACTTGACGTAACGACTTGACTATTACAGGGAAAGAGTTACGGAAAATTGGTCAGCATGTATACATTTCTTAATTTGGAAATTTCCTTATTTCGACAGGAAACTTAAAGGTACAATGCAAAATATCTTGTTCTAAGATGAATTAACAAAATATGTTTATTACTAGTATTTCGACACGTTATTTACGATGTTTACATCAAATTGATATACTCATATACTTCAATTTTGTGCTTTAATTATTATGCATGTGGTATCTATTCCGAACTAAATGTTGTTTGTGGCCATGTCGCTGTCCAAAATGCTTACCTTTCCAGTTACTTAATTGGGATAATGTTAGAAAGGCGACAATACTATTTTCAACATTTTACAAAATGAATTTATCTGTATCTGTAGATATAATCATCTGTCATGTATATGATTTGGAACTTCTTTATTTGTACCAAATATTAACCACATTAAAAATCACCAGTCTTGAACCATTGCTCCGATCTTTTATATCCAGTTACTCATTAAAGGAAATAGTATGCTTAAAATTGTGAACAAACTAAACAAGGATATGATTACGAAAGAAAACGAAGAAACAAACATTTTATAAGTACTATCTTTTATTCCCAATATTGTACATGGTTAAGTGCCTACTTCCGTTTACATAGCCTTTTTCATTGTTCTTTCATCTGAGTCAGGTCAATAAAACATATATATATAATATATACACAACAGTTTGTTATGGTATTCCATATTCATTAAGGTCACAGAACAGTCAGAAAATGAATGTAACATTTAACTGTTGTTTAGTATTTTGTGTTCTTGCAAATATTATAGTTACGTTTGGTGCTGATAGTTGGACATGCACAGCAAATACAGATTATATCGACCCAATGTTTGCTTGTAAAGATTTAGAAAAAAGGTTCAACACAATTGAACTACAAATGAAACAATTCCAAAAACTGATGCAAACTAATGGGCTCACTACATACACAACAATTGAGGGATTTCCTAAAGGTATGTTGTTTTTTTACGAAGTTAAATAAAAATTTAAAACTGAGGGAAATGTAAATTAGAAATTGAATAGATACGAGGGTCGTCCGGAAAGTTCGTAGAAACCTGCTTTAATACAAGTATTTCGCATTAGAATTAAATGAAACTTTCTCCAATCACTCACCAATGTTCCGTGATCGATGCTACAAAATTTCAAAACTTTCCGTTCTTATATAATGGAATGGCAAGGGTTTATGTAAAGGGATGTACATTTGTGCGGAGCAAGCCATGACGTTTCGTCGTGAATTTACTTACTAAAATGTGACGTCGAGGTTCAAGCGCCGTAATTCTCAAGATATTCACCGTTGCATCCCACACATTTCCTCTCTCTATCAATCTATTTGTCATACTCCTTTGAATACCAGTTACTCTCAATTTCAGAAATAATAAATAATAATAAATAGTGTTGTTTTTCTTTAAGTTCAGTGAAATTCCCGAAGTTTATATACTCGTAAATATCTAGTGGAGTGTTAGACTTATTATTTGTATATTGCTTTTACATGTATTTGAAACTATGGAAATCGATGAAAAGTTAGTTTAAAGCATAAAGTGACGGAAACCTTGATGCATTTGAGGTAAATGGAATAAATGATTTAAAACATAGAACCACCGCGACGTAAAATACAAGAAGTTATTGTTTAGTTTAAAGTAAAATAATTTTTTATTTAAAATCAGACTGTGAAGAAATCTATGAAAATGGAACACGAACTGATGGCATGTATATGATCTCGCCTGACGGAAGATGTCCTTTTCTTGTTTACTGTGACATGAAAATTGGTGGCTGGACTTTGATACAAGTAAATAGTAATTACAGAGTTATTGCCCTTTATTACTTTTCCATTGCTTTCTTTTATTCGGACCATAACTTGAAGACTAATTGTTGCAATTCATTATAACTTCATACAATGGTCCAGCACATTGAGAGGAAGTGCAGTGCACAAGAACCATAACTCCATCTTGACTTATTACAGAGTTACTGCCCTTTGTTTCTTTTCCTTGTCCAGAGCATGACTTTAAAACTACTTGTTGGAATTCAAAACACTGTGATTAAAGTAATTACTCATTTTGAAATGTTATAAGGTTTAACAGAAATAGCCTTTGGACATATAACCTTTAAGTTAAGGTTAAGGTCTAATAAGGATTTTTGAAATTTAAACTTTACAGCTTTTATACCTACTTAGTCAAAAGACTAACTCCTGTTAGAATAGGACATTACTTCGTTTATACGACCGATACCATCTCACATTTTATTGTCTGTTCAGAGCTATCTCTCGTTGCTACATTGATAGATATGTTTGTAACAAATATTACAATGAAACTAACTAACTAAACTAACTAACTAACTAACTAACTAACTAACTAACTAACTAACTAACTAACTAACTAACTAACTAACTAACTAACTAACTAACTAACTAACTAACTAACTAACTAACTAACTAACTAACTAACTAACTAACTAACTAACTAACTAACTTACTAACTAACTAACTAACTAACTACCTAAATAACTGTTTCTAAAATCGTTATTTTATATTTTTATTGTCCCTTTTATATCTGCTAAATTAAACATTTCATTTGTGAATTGTTTAGCGGCGTGTTGACGGACGTGTTAGCTTCTATAGACCTTGGCAGGAATACGTCACAGGGTTTGGTGACATTGACGGGTCGTTTTGGCTTGGCCTTGAGAAAATCCATCGCCTAACGAGAGATGGAACCCAGATCTATTTTGATATGGAAAACTATGACGGTACAAGAGATTATGCCCATTACAATGTGTTCACCGTTCACAAAGCAGCGACCGCATACAGAATGAATGTGGATACCTTTGGATACAGGGGTTCTATCAAAGAGCTCCTTAGTTACCATGACAACCAGAAATTTTCTACCTATGACAGAGATAATGATGCACACTCTTCACACTGTTGTAAAGACCGTGACGGAGGTGGTTGGTGTTACAACGCATGCTACAAGCTTGGGAACTTGAACGGAATTTACGGAAAAAGGGAGCTTGGAGGTGTTGGTTATCACGACAGTGGTCATTTACAGATAAAGAATGTTGAAATAAAAATTAAGGCGATGTACGGTGTTTGTTAATCACATGCCATTTTTTTGTTGTAAATCCTATCAACAGTTTTATTGCACTCCATGTATGTATTTAATGTGGGGACAATTCTTACTCAAATTTTGTCCATACATAAGGATAATCATTGCAACAAAAGCTAGGATTCTTAAGCAAGTGATTTATTCTTTTTCTCTTTGCTGTCCATTTGTTTATATTATTTCTGTGACATTTACCATATAATATATAATTATATATATCAAAATCAGGGGCGTAGTCAGCTTTTTTCAACTTGTAGGCCCATAAAAGGGGTTCTGGGGGCTAAGCCCCCAGGAGTAAAAAACAAGTTCCGATTAAAAAGAGCAATTTGCACGTTCTAAAGTATTTTCAAGGAAAATTATCAAAACAATAATTTAAAACTATGAATTAGATTAGATGCCAACTTTATTGAGGCATCAGCCTAAAAGACCGACCATACGGCTTGAACGCACTACCAATTTCACCCACGCCTGTTTTTATTGTATTTTTGGGACTCTTTAAAATGTCAATGTCTTGACCAACTTGTAGGCCTAAGCCGACATGGCCTTATAGTAGCTACGCCACTGAAAATTGTGTAAATTGTTTTCACTCTTTAGCTGATTTATCAAGAAACTTGCAAATACACTGTTGAATAAATAAATTTATTCTTTTTTTATGAATATTTTATAGATTTATAAAAATTTATTCATGATATTCATTCAATGTGCAAGAACATCTATTACAGTGACATCATTTCCCCACGAAGAACATGATATTTGAGCAAATGGTATGTTCGTTATACGACTATAGACTTAAAGTTTCTGCCTTAAGTTTATTTATCTATACCTCATGCTATATACACATAGAGTCGTCATAATTACTGTATTGAAGGAATCAGTCAATAATGGCACTGAACACATTAGCGGACGTGTTTGCATTTATAGATATCTCTGGTAAAGAATACAAACCGTATTACAAACTTATTGAGGAAAAAAGGGCCTTACCTAGATATGTGTACAAATGTTTAAAGGATGAATACATTTGTGATAATGTGAAAGATAAACTTGCTTGGTGTGTTTGATATGTATTGTTCACAAGTGTTAACAAGAAATATCTATAGAAAAAGATGAGTTACGCTACAAGACCAAGAAAATCGGTAGATTTCAATTTGAACATGCCATTGACGTGACAATAAGAATATTCATAACATTAAATTCAAGTCTATTTCAATCTTATGAACTTAATAATACTTTGAATATAATAATAGATAATATTTTTTTGTACCAGACCTTTTTATTATTTTTTTATTGATTTGGCGTCCATTCCATTTTATGTTATGAGGCCTGCAATTGCTTCAAGCTGTATTATTTTTGTTTTAAGCATTTATAAGATTCAAACGCTTGGAACAAATGAAAACAAAGCGAGGCAAAATATGAAAGGGTACGGTTTCCAAATACTATTTATCTTTATGTTAATATGATTATTAGAAACAAATGATTTTTCACTTATCACTAGGGTTGTCCCACAAAGTCGTAAAACAAAAATAAACACCGGAGCTTAAATTAGTTTGCGCAAGTGTATCGTCATCAGTTTAAAGTAATTTAAGAAATATTATGTCATGAAAATATAAATACATAAAGTTTAAGCATTTATACAGACATGAGTTATACGTATGCGGCACACGTCAAAATCTGTTTGACAAATTTATCGTTTGAGCAATGCATAAATATTTGGTTGACAAACATTTGAATAGTTTCTTGTCTCAGCCTGAAGCTAAAACATTCAGGTCGAGCTAGTATATGGCTACACACGAACGGTCACGAACATAAATTGGGGATTTATTTGTTATCTCCCCGTTCCAGAAACAGCTGTATAATTTTCCTCGTACTGGTTTTTATGGTCCTTTGGGACCAATTATTTTACTATCTTTATGCCTCCTGGTGAGTCAAAATATATCACAAAAATCAAACAGAAAAAAGAGAAAAATAATATATTATGACATTTAGAAACGTAAATATATCAAATATTTAAGTTAAAATTTACATGTTATGTCCGATTAATGACTTATCAAGCAGTACATGTATGTATATATTTCAACTGAGTGACTAACGCATACGCGGAAGAATAGTGATGAGTACAGAATTTCTCCATGAAAAAAAGTATAGAATATTTTCTTTATACGATATAGGTAAACTAACCTTGAAGGTTAACATATATCTTGCTTTAATTTTCTTATCTCAAACAAACAGCTTATCTAAGGAGTCTTTTAAACATGATTCCTTTATTAATTAAGCGGCTTTGTTTTTCATCTTCTGACGTTTTCTTATATCAATGCTAAAGATCAGATTCCACCAGATATAATTATTAGTGTTTTCCTTTAGTGTCTTTCAGTTTACTTTAATGAATGAAATATTTTCTTTCTTCTTTGAAATATTATCTGACACAAGTATGTTTCCGGTACCGAAATTATTTACTATGATTATCTCAAAGATACAAAAGAAATTAAGAAACAGATTTTGTTTTGAAGATAAACAGTAAGCCAGGTTGAAATTTGTATTCTTGTAGATTCAATAATTATTGTTTATTCAGTACATCTTATGTTTCAACTAATTTTAAATATAGGAAAGCTGAAACCAAACAACAATTATACAGTACGGTAGAAGAATATCCTCTTCCAATGAGGAAGTATGCCAACTTGATTGGTACCATACTTACAACTCTTTCCATAGTAACTCAATGCGAAATGAAAAAAGAGAAACTCATCGCACTTTTTTAATTGAAGCCATGAAGATCAGTTTTTTAATGCCTTGAATATAACTAAATTTGCACAATCACTGTCTTTCTAAATTCAGTACTTCTTAGTTTAAATTCTATAAGTTTGAGCTTGATAACTATAATATAGACGAAACAGTGTTTATATATTTTTAAAGAATTGTCAAATTCAAATAAATGGGTTTAAAGTACAAGGTTTTAAGAGTGTGTACACGTTTTTCTGCTGTAACGTGTTCAATTTCCAATAAAGAAAACTAAAGAATCAACTTTTAAAAATAACATTTAAAGATTCGATGTCCTTAATTCAATACTGCGTTTGTAATTTAGTTTTTTTCACATCCCTTTTCCCTGACTTCAAAGTCGAAAGTGGGCAAACTTGAATTAGCTTGTCCGACTTTTTACTCGTTGAACCTCAGATGGCCCAATGAGCAATATTTTAGAAATAATTTATACCACCGGTAGTATGTTTGCTACAGAGAAGATGAAATAGAGTCTGCTTTTAAAAACCTCACAACATTGCTAGTAAGTACCAAATCATACACGCTTCCATAAAAAAAGAAACAAAAAGAAGAAGAAGTGTAATTTTTCACTGAATCTAAAGTATGATATCAGCACTAGTACAAGCTGCCAGTAAATAGACCACATTTTCAAAAAATAAAATGAATTATGGTTCTATGCATTGCTTAAAATGAGGATTAATATCAATTAATACTTGAAGAGATCGACCAAATAGACAGAAAGTGGAACTGATCAGTGGACATGCTCAGCATGCTCAGCATGTAAATGCATGTACAATAGCTTAGTTAATTAGAAAATCACTCGTCTTTCAATTTGCCTCATAACATTTATTTATTATATTATGATAAACGGATTTGACCCTGTGATCAATTCAAAAGGCGAAGAGACGATAATTGGCCAATGTGTGTCGTCGTGTTTGCACTTAAAGAAAACGTTTTTAAAGTTAAAAATCGTGAAAGTTCGTAGTCAGTTGTTTATATACAAATTTGTGTGCTTAGATTTCGTAAAATCAAGTGATAATTGGCACGACTTTATCAATGAGATTTTAGATTAGATGCTTGCATATATGTGTGTTCTAGTAAAAAGAAAGTAGTCATCTATTAACCACTTTTGATATTTTTAGCTCTGTCAAAAGGAACAACATTGTGTTAAACAAAGAATCATGCACCGCCTATCTAAAATATCACACTAAAATAATTTTCCAGTCAAAAAGTTATTCTATGATGCACACTTTATTATTATATTAAAAACGTCTTAGTTTATTTTGATAAGTGTGCATAACATTTTCGCAAAATTGGCGTATAGTATTTCTTTTAATCGTTTCATCTTCAGTTAGATCACGGTTAAGATACGTATTTCCCACTCGGTGGCATTTATATAAAACACGATTTACATAGCTGTACTTTAACGTTTTCGTTCTAATAAATATGTACTTTTATAACAAACTACAAGCCTTTTACTAAATCTCATGTTATCTATATTTTGGTAAACATTATACGCAATTTAACACATAATGGCAGTATTCCTATAAAAGTATCTGTCTAGCAAAAACATCGGATCTAGTAAAGTTGATTTAAATCAAACCAAGAGCTGATTGGCTCAATCAAGTGTTTTTACTTTTTAAACATTTTGCTGAAATATTTGTGAGAGGAACCATTGCATTATGGCGATTTCGTGACATTAAAAATAATAATAGTTGTCCCTTCGCTTTTAAGGAATTAATTCTTTTGTTTACACTTTAATAATATAATTTCACGGAACTTGTTGACAATGGCAAAATGGATAACTATTATTACGATGGTCTAAATAGAAAAAATAAGAAAAGTACAAGAAAGCTTTTGTTTCTTATTCATATATCAGATACGAGTATGTATTTAATGTGGTTAATGACTGTAAAAGTTAAATCTTTTTTATTGGCCAAGCGTAATCAAGCATTTTATAATACGCCAGTATTGCCTCGACATTATAAATGCATTATAAAATTTCGGAGATGCATTTTGCGTTTAGTTTAAATAAAATTGATGATGTACTTATATGCAAACATATACAGTGTTATGAAGCAAATGCTAATGTTTTTATTCTTAGCCCTATTGTAAGGTTAGGAATTTGTATAAGCAGGTAACATATATAAAGTTTTGCATCCGTAAAGAAATAAATAACAGATAGATAATTAACATATTGACTCGTTGACTCTTAAAGTTCTTGCTAACACATACAAACTGATTGACGTTGAAAGAAATTGCTTAACTGTCCATCACGCTACGTTGTGGGCCTGTAAAGTGAGACTAGCATCGGTGTGAAAGTCCAGGTTCCGACCAACATTATAAGTATCTCTTAAAGGCCCATTAAGCCTTAGATGTACACTGTTATATTTTTCAAAACTTCTTTTATTTCTTGTGTGCTGTAACAGTTTCCAAAACGTTTCTTAATTCATGAAGTTGAAATATTCCCACCGGTCTTTCGTATAATACAAACATTAATGTTGACTGATTTATTTTGGAGTATCATACCTTTTGAGATTGATGTAAATTATTGAATTAGTATCACACTATAAATGTATATATTTAGAGTAACGTTTCAGAGTAACGGCGGTTCGCGGAGCGAACGTACAACATGGCACAAATCAGGCGCCATAAGATCTTTTATGAGAATTGTAGCTAGCAGCTAATTACATACTTCATAATTTGAATAGTGTTGACATTGGTTTAAATGTTCCACTTTTAAGCAACCTAGACATTTTGACCAAACTAGTAACATTGTTTCACACGTACACACTTACAGAGACAAAAAGATACATTTAACACTCAAATACATTACCATGATATTTCTTTATTACATGCTTTTCGATGGTTTATAGAAATATATCAGTGAATTAAAAGTGGTAATTTCACTGTTTGAAACAGTGAAATTACCACTTTGATAATTTCACTGTTTTCAATTTAAGCCCCTTACGTTGTTTCAGTGAAATACCAGCGTGCACAGTACTGGGTACCAACTTAATGACGTGACGTCGTAAATGACGTGACGTTGTATTTTTATTTGGCGCGCTTTTCATTCAGTATTAGATTTAATGTCTTTTTTAAACGTTTGTTTGCATATAATAAAAAGAAAATTTGTTTAGTTTAGTGTAAGATCGAAATATATTTCACCGAGTGAGCACCAAAAGGTATATTTCACGAGTGGCGCAGCCACGAGTGAAATATGAACTTTTGGTGTTCACAAGGTGAAATATATTTCGATCTTACACTGAACTAAACAAATATCCACTATATATTAAAGACACCTCCTAATCAATTTATTCCTCATATTCACTTCCTTTTAATCTTTCTACTTCTTCTCAAATACTATTCTATTTTGTATGTTTATATAAATATTTATTCAAACCAGTAATATGTTCACTCTAAATGCTTTGCTTGTTTGATTTGGGTTTTACGTCACACAGAAACAGTAAAGGTCATTTGACGACGTTCCAGTTTTACTGGTGGAGGGACCTCAGGTGCCCCTCCGTGCATTTTTTTCAGGCACGAACTAGAAGCTGAGTAGAACCACCGACGTTCCGTAAGCTAGCTGGATAGCTTCCTCACATGAAAGTATCAAAAGTCCCTGTCGGGATTTGAACCCACAGCGGTGAGGGGCAAGTGGTTTGAAGTCAACGACCACTCGGCTACGGACGCCCCTCACTCTAAATGTATAACCTATATTGTATACTATGTTTCGTAAAGCATTTAAGTCCATATTGTTGTTTTCTTTTTCGTTCTAATATGAACTTAAAATGATTTAAAAATACACTTTGTCTTTCTTTGTGATCCTGTTTAAAAAACAAACTTGAAATGCTTTGTGTATAATGTAAATTGAAACATGTATTCAGGGAAATAAAATATGTTTTTACTAAAAAAAACTAAAAACTTAAAACTTCCTTTTTTATAAATCAACATTGCTCGTTATTTTGGATCATTCACATATTAATGTAATAACATAAACCGGATTTTTTTTAGAAAAGAAACCCTGTTTTTCAACTTTTTGCAAAATCGTATTCATGCATCTATATATTCAAACATCTTTATGAAGACTTTTATTTATTTGACACGAATTTCCATAATCAGATAAATCAGTACTTTTGTTAACTATACCATTTTGCTGAGCCTTTGAATGAAGTTAAGGAAAATAATTTCCTTAAACCTGAAAGAAGATTGAAAATGTTTTCAAAAGACACCAAAGACACCATCACAACCCTTTGATTACTATCTTTTGTTTTTCTAAAGCATCTACTTCTGTTTACCATGGTTATGGTTCAAAGCTTTTTTTGTTTTTTAGATTTGCACGGATACAATGATTGTTTAAACTTTTTTTAAAGAAACAATTCAGTTTGTAACAACAATCCGTTGTTGAATAGTAAAGTAAAGAGTTATAAAATGAATTTGGAATTTATCTTTGTTAACACATTTCTCCTTTCTGTATGTGTTTATGTTACATTAGGGGCTGACAGTTGGAGATACAAATGAAGCAAGTCCAAACGTTGTTGCAAACAAATAGGACAAATACATATACAACGATTGACGGGATTCCTAAAGGTACGAATACTTTTTATCATCCGTTATGTTCTAATTTGATACAAATAAAATGGATGTGAATTATAAATGTTTATTCCAGTTATCCCTTACAGTCAGGTTGGTAACTTAAGGTCGTGATAGGGGAGCGTTAGGGTGTTTTAATTATCTCTCATGTACAGACTCATTCAAACCGACTCTGCAATTTGCATGTAAGTTTGCTGATTTAAATGCTTGCGAGGGATCACTTTTTCCAGAAATGAATAATTGATAATTTCATTTACATCCTCTTGTCATATTGGAACATGTTAAGGCTATGAGCGAGGTTTGGCGCGCCTAAAATCTGTTTACTCTCCCACTAGTGTTATAACTACTGATGTTTCATCGCGTGTTATAAATTGTGACATGCTTTGTACGGTAACACGTTTTAGTTATCTATTTTGTCAGGTGTCGTCAGAAGTAAGTATTTCCTTATAAGAAGTGAATTATCATCTCCGTATCGTTTTATTGAAAAGACTTCTTCATTGTTGTAAATAATGATATATAGCGTGCGAAAGGTGTATGAAACGATTAGTTCTAGCTATAGTACTAAAGTATCATATTTTTGGAATTCAGACTGCGAAGCAATCTATGAAAATGGACCACGAACAGATGGTATGTACATGATCTCGCCTGACGGAAGATGTCCTTTTCTTGTTTACTGTCACATGAAGAATGGTGGCTGGACCGTGATACAAGTAAATAGTTTTCTTGTTTTAACATGTACTTAACAGGAATACGAATTTCAGCAGAACACAATTTACACATTCATTTAATTGAATTTTTAATGTTGCCGATTGGGAACGGTTCTATAATTACTCATTTATATGCTTTCTTCTTCTTTTTATTGTTATTATTCGAGTTGAAATCGTGAATTTATGAAGTTTAAATCGAGAATTCACGAAGCTGATATCATGAATTCGTGAAGATGAAATCGTGAATTTATGAAGTAGAATTCGTGAAGTTGAAATCGTGAATTCAAGAAGTTAAACTCGTGAATTCATGAAGTTAAAATCGTGAATTCATGAAGTTGTAATCGTGAATTCATAAAGTTGAATTTGTGATTTCGTGAAGCTGAAATCGTGGATTCACGAAGTTGAATTCGTGAAGCTGAAACCGTGAATTCATGATGTTGAAATGTCCCAACCGGTCTTTCGTATGAAGACGTTAATGTACTATACAGTAAAGTGTTGCTTAATATGTTTTCAGTGACCATTTTACATATTTATCGTTTCAGTTTAACTCGTATTAAGTCAAAAATCATATTTGATAAAATATATTTCTCAAAAATTAATGAATCTGACACAAGCATAACGTCAATATGGTTTCGAGTTTCGATATGTATTTTAGAAAAAAATCCAGTATTTATTCATATACGAACTTACTTATCATATACAATTCAATCAAAAATGTTTAAATGCGGTCCTGTGTTCTTGAGGACTGTGTTTTAAGGAATAGTTCTAGTAGGTCTATTTGTAGTCTTTTATAGCCACACATCTCCAAATGTGCCAAAATATTTAAAAAAAACTCTTTTTAGAAAAAAATATTTTAAGAAAAACTGAAAATATCTATAACTCAAGAACTAAGTTTCATGTTTTATGCAACAAATGATTGATTTTGCAGTATTTATATCCATAACTAAAGAACTAAGTTTCATGTTTTATGCAACAAATGATTGATTTTGCAGTATTTATCACAATATATTGTCTGCGTGACTTACGCAGTAAGGATGATTTTTGCATACGCTGACCCATGTTTTGGCATTTTCTTTTGTAGATTTTAAGTGCTATGTGCAAATTACTTTCTTTTTTTCACTTGAGAATATTTTACTTTTAAATACATTTTTTTTTATAAAAATTGACACAAATCTGGAGACATGCTGCTTTAAGGTAACAATAGGTCAATAGATAACCAATGAATATTTACATTGTCAAATCGCCTTGTTTATGTTTTTTCTATTGTGCTATGTATAATATAATCATGATTAGCGATTTCATATCTTTCTTGTTTAGCGGCGTGTTGACGGACGTGTCAGCTTCTACAGACCATGGGATGGTTACGTCTCTGGGTTTGGTGATCTTGACGGGTCGTTTTGGCTTGGCTTAGAGAAAATCCATCGCCTAACAAGAGACGGAAGTCAAATCTATTTTGATATGGAAAACTATGACGGTTCAAGAGATTATGCCCATTACAACGTGTTTACCGTTTACGAAGCAGCGACAGCATACAGAATGAATGTTGATACCTTTGGATACAGGGGTTCTATCATAGAGCTCCTAAGTTACCATGACAACCAGAAATTTTCTACCTATGATAGAGACAATAATGCTTCTTCATCGAACTGTTGTAAAGACCGTGACGGAGGTGGATGGTGGTATAAGGATTGCTACAAGCTTGGAAACTTTAACGGAGTTTACGGGAAAAGGGAGCTTGGAGGTATTGGTTACGGTGACGGTGGTCATTTACAGATTAAGAATGTTGAAATAAAGATTAAGGCGATGTACGGTGTTTGTTAATCACAGGTCATTTTATTGTTGTAAATCCTATCAACAGTTTTATTGCACTCCATGTATGTATTTAATGTGGGGGCAATTCTTATTCAGATTTTGTCCATACATAAGTATAATCATTGCAACAAAAGCAACGATTAATTCTTAAGCAAGTAATTTAATTCATTCTTTTTTCGCTTTGCTGTCCATTTTTTATATTACTTCTGTGACATTTACTATAAAAGACATAATTATATATAAAGATTGTGTAAAATGTTTTCACTTTTTAGCTGATTTATCAAGAAACTTGCAAGTATACTGTTGAATAAATAAATTTATTCTTTTTATGAATATATTATATATTAATAAAAAACTATTCCTGATATTCATTGAATGTGCAAGAACATCTATTACAGTAACATCATTTCCACGAAAACATGATATTTTAGCAAATGGTAGGTTCGTTATACGACTATAGACTTAAAGTTTCTGCTTTAAGGTTATTTATCTATACCTCATGCTATATACACATAGAGTCGTCATAATTATTGTATTGAAGGAATCAGTCAATAATGGCACTGTTAGCGGACGTGTTTGCATTTATACATATCTCTGGTAAAGAATACAAACCGTATAACAAGCTTATTGAGGAAAAAAGGGCCTTACCTAGATATGTGTACAAATGTTTAAAGGTTGAATGCATTTGTGATAATTTGAAAGATAAACTTGCTTGGTGTGTTTGATATGTATTGTTCACAAGTGTTAACAAGAAATGTCTAGAGAAAAAGATGGGTTACGCTACAAGACCAAGAAAGTCGGTAGATTTCAATTTGAACATGACATTGACATGACAATATGAATATTCATAACATTAAATTCAAGTCTATTTCAATCTTTATGAACTTGATAATACTTTGAATATAATAATAGATAATATTTTTGTACCAGACCTTTTTATTATTATTTTTTTATTGATTTGGCGTCCATTCCATTTTATGTTATGAGGTCTGCAATTGCTTCAAGTTGTATTATTTTTGTTTTAAGCATTTATAAGATTCAAACGCTTGAAACAAATGAAAACAAAGCGAGGCAAAATATGAAAGGGTACGGTTTCCAAATACTATTATCTTTATGTTAATATGATTATTAGAAACAAATGATTTTTCACTTATCACTAGGGTTGTCCCACAAAGTCGTAAAACAAAAATAAACACCGGAGCTTAAATTAGTTTGCGCAAGTGTATCGTCATCAGTTTAAAGTGATTTAATAAATATTATGTCATGAAAATATAAAATACATAAAGTTTAAGCATTTATACAGACAGGAGTTATACGTATGCGGCACACGTCAAAATCTGTTTGATAAATTTATCGTTTGAGCAATGCATAAATATTTGGTTGACAAACATTTGAATAGTTTCTTGTCTCAGTCTGAAGCTAAACATTCAGGTCGAGCTAGAATATGGCTACACACGAACGGTCGTGAACATAAATTGGGGATTTATTTGTTATCTCCCCGTTCCAGAAACAGCTGTATAATTTTCCTCGTACTGTAAGTGCTATTAAGTTTTTATGGTCCGACCAATTATTTTACTATCTTTATGCCTTCTGATGAGTCAAAATATTTCATGAAAATCAAACAGAAAAAAGAGAAAAATAATGTATTATGACATTTAGAAAAGTAAAGATATCAAATATTTAAGTAATAACTTACATGTTATGTCCGATTAATACTGATCATGCAGTACATGTATGTATATATTTCAACTGTGTGACTAACGCATACGCGGATGAGTACAGAATTTCTCAATGAAAATAAGTATAGAATATTTTCTTTATACGATATAGGTAAAATAACCTTGAAGGTGAACATATATCTTGCTTTAATTTTCTAATCTCAAACAAACAGCTCATCTAAGGAGTCTTTTAAACATGATTCCTTAATTAATTACGCGGCTTTGTTTTTTATCTTCTGACGTTTTCTTATATCAATGCTAAAGATCAGATTCAATCAGATATAATTATTAGTTTTCCTTTAGTGTCTTTCAGTTTACTTTAATGAATAAAATATTTTCTTTCTTCTTTGAAATATTATCTGACACAATAATGTTTCCGGTACCGAAATTATTTACTGTGATTATCGCAAGGATACAAAAGAAATTAGAATGAAGATAATAAGTAAGACAGGTTGAAATTAGATTTTTTGTAGATTCCATAATTATTGTTTATTCAGTACATCTTATGTTTCAACTAATTTAAAATAAAGGAAAGCTGAAACCAAACCAGCAATTATACAGTACGGTAGACGATTAGATGGCGTGCATTTATTTAGAAATGATTTGGACCCTCGGACAACTACTTTCAGTAAAATGCGACAAAGTATAATGCAAGGGATAGAAGCCAATTTCGGTAAGCTTTCCTTCATAGAAAGTTTACTTGATATGGTACTCTAGCATATGAAATGGTAGTAAAGTATTTCAAATGGCCACATTATCTAAAATAGGTATTGATAACGTTTAAAAAAAAGTATAACTTGTAACAACCCTAGTACAAGCTGCCAGGAAATAGACCATATATAAAAAACTAAAGTAATTATTGTTCTATGCATTGCTGATAATAATTTGATATTACTTATTACTTGAAGAGATCGACAAATAGATGGAAACATATAAATATAAAAAAAGAAAATTTAAAGGTCCATTTCTCATAATAATCTTTTCCTTATATGAAAACTGAATAGATGATGGAGTATTTGGCAAGATTGATTATTGATTAACTTGTTGATTGGTGTGGTCTGGTGGATTTATTACATGATCATTCTTTCTTTCTTTCTTTCTTTCTTTCTTTCTTTCTTTCTTTCTTTCTTTCTTTCTTTCTTTCTTTCTTTCTTTCTTTCTAACCATACACAACAGGGTTATACGAAACTGAGGTACATGTATGTTAATTAGAGTACATATATTGGCAAATTTCTGTTCCTTTTAAGAGTTTTTTTTAAAAAAGTTTTGTAAAAGTTTTAAAAAAGTCCTGTATATCTGTTGCAAATGTTTTGATTCTTTTTCAAATTCTAAATGTATTTTCTAATGTATAAAATAACGAATAATTGTTTTTTTCTTTTTTTTCCGTTCCATACTGTTTTCGTTCCTTTCAGTCTGTAACCCCTTGAATTTCCCCCTAAAATGTAAAACATTTTGCTAAATGATGTTAAAAAAGTTTAAGTAAAAAAAACTTAAAAAACATTTTTTAAACAAAATTTTATGTCCCATACCCCTTTCCCTTTTTCGTCTCTCTACCGCCGCAGTCTTTTCAGAAAAAATTTACCTCTGCTGTCCATGGACAGGCTTAACCAAACCGGGCCTGCAACATGTTCAATTTAGCCTTTTTTGCGTTCATTAGGTATTCCGCTCTTCTCTTTTTAAAAAAAAAGACATTTCAGAGCAGCTACAGCTAAACGACATCTGAAAGGTTTCAAAAGCTGATATATTTGCACTATTTAGTTAACATTTCTTTATATGTCACAAGGATTTAGGGCGTGGAAAGTTTTCAAAAGACAAATGATGAACATGAACTAACCCTTCTTGTACTTTCCCAGAAATTTAAGCGGCCTAAAACATCAAAGGATTTTTTGTAAAGAATAGAATTTCAAGTCTACAATTTTCTAGATATTGAATGCCTGACTATTTCAGATAGAAAAAAAAATGATAAAACACGCTCTAAAGTGCAAAATTATGATATATTTTATATCTGCATATCAACCAACCAGTCTTGTTGATTTTATAAATATGGAACTAGTGTTTTTTTTCTTTAAAATGAAAGCTGGATATAAAGGTTTTTGTCATGCCACATATGCGGCGGTTTCTTAAAGTGACATAATGCCCATCCAAGTGCACAGGAAGAAGAAGTCAAAATAACTTTACATTTTGCCATAATTATGAAAAATTTCATATTTTACCATGCAAAAATAATCAATTATAACCCATGTAAACCCCAACTATATTTATAGATATGTTTGGAATGAATTGGTAACGTTCAATTTTTTAAAAAAGAGTGGGGCAGTCTTTATATAACTTAAGTAGTTTTTATATCTTATCCTTAATATTTTCGCTATCAATCATTGGCCAGTCACCATTATGATAGTCAAATTCTTGAAATATATTACTTACTCTAATCAGCTTGAAAGCGAAAACAATGAGCATAATGTCACTTTAAGGTAAATAATTTTTTTTTGTATTTAGTCTTGTATTAAATAGTTAAAAATAAATGAAACAAATTATTATTTTGCAAATTTAAAACGGTGAAATACAAAATGTTACGTGCTTTTAGAAAATACCTGTAATTGTTGTTTCTTTGTCAAAAATGATGAGCAATTTTTTGTTAGGCTCATGCTTTATGAAAGTTATGACACAGATTCATTAATGTATACAAAATCTGAGTGAATGCGTTTCTTAAAATATTTCACGAACTAATGTTGTCTGTGCATGAATATACTTATATTGAAAATCTTAATACAATGACAAATTCGTGATAAACCTTGGAATATAATATGAAAAGAAAACATATACATATTTTCATTCAAGTATGCAGAATGAATGAATATTGATAAGTACACAGACCTCCACCCTCGAGAGAAGTAATTAACCTGATGTCATTTGTGGTATTTTTATCAATGTAGCTTGCAAAGTTTTTTTTAGCTAAACATCATGAATACATCAAATAGTGAGGCACTTAAGTATGGCTTTTTTTTGCCATTTCGTTTCTTCATGTCTACACGAAGACGAGAAAACACAATAATATGCTCACGTACTGTGGCTTCGCCTTCGACCTTGAGGGTGCCGACACGGAGACGCAATAGATTTTAGGCTTATAATATTTTGATAGTCGAAGAAACGAGATCTCTTTCTGTGAAATTATCGTGTCGGCGGGTAGAAATCTTTGTTCTTGCGCCCTATATATGTCGTGTCGTCGTGTCGTCGCCCCTAAAGTTGAAGACATAGTAATTGGACAATTTATCGAATGTTCGTGTCATCGTGTTTTCGCCCCGAAAGCACAAAAATAAACAACATTTTAAAGCTGAAAATCGTGTTGTAATCAAAGGTTTATGTACAAAACACAGGATTTGTGCGTTCTGTGTGTTGAGTTTTTGTACAATCACGTGATAATTGAAGACCATTGACACGACTTGTATCAATGGGAATTCATTTTAGAAACTTGCATATGTTTTTGTTCTAATAAAGTAGTCATCTATAATCCACTTTATGTACTTTATGTATCCATTGATTCTTATAGCATAATTCTATTTTCTGTCAAAAAAGAACAAATATGTGATGACAAAACAGTCATTTACCGCCTACACGCCTATCTAAAATATCATACTAAAATAATGTCTCAGTCAAAAAGTTATTCTATGATGCACACTTATTTTTATATTACAAAAACTTAGTTATATTCTAATTAGAGTTATTCTATGGTGCACACTTATTTACATATTAAAAAACCTTCGTTATATTCTAACTAGAGTATAATAATAACCTCTTAGCAAAATTTACGTATACTATTTCTTTTTATCGTATTATCTTGAGTTAGATCACAGTAAAGAAACGTACTTCCCAACATTGGCAAAAAATAAAACACGATTAATAACTTGGGTTTTAAGTTTTCCTGAAAAAAATTGTTTTTTAACTAAACCCTTTTAAAAAAGCTCATGATATCTTTTTTGGGTTTAATTTTAGCATTAAAACAAAAATGACGTTTTTCCTATGTAGTATTTATCCAGCAAAAACATGGGATCTAGTAAAGTTATTTTAAGAGCTGATTGGCTCAATAAAGTGTATCTACTTTTTAGACCTTTTGCTGAAATATAAGTGAGATAATACCGTCGCATTATGGCGTTTTCGTGACATTTAAAAAATTAACATAGTTGTCACTTTTACGGAATAAATTATCTTGTTTACGCTTTATACTGTCACGGAACTTGATGACAATGTCACAAAATATACATATACGATGGTCTCAATATCAAATGCCGCAGATACCAAATAAACTTTTCAGCAAAAAGAAAAAATATCATGGCAAATAAGAAAAGTACAAGAATGCTTTTGTTTCTAATTTATATATGTATTCAATGTGGTTTATCACTGTAAAAGTAATATCTTCTATTTTATTGGAGGAAAATAGTTCAACCATTTTATAATACGCAAGTGTTGCTTCGACATTATAAATGCATTATAAAATTTCGCAGATGCATTTTTCGTTTAGTTTAAACAAAATCGATTATGTAAGTATATGCAAACATGAGAATGTTTTACACCGTGTATTTAGAAAAATAATATGAAGCAAATACTAATGTTATAACTCTTAGCCCTATTGTAAGGTTAGGAATTTGAAATAAATTTGTATTAGCAGGTAACATATATAAATGTTGCATCCGTCAAGAAATAAATAACATATGAATAATGAATATACGGGCTCGTTGACTCATACAGTTCTTGCTTGCACATACAGAAAAAAATTGATTGACCTTGAAAGGAATTGCTTAACTTCCATCCAGCTACGTGGTGGTCTTGAAAAGTTAGACCAATAAGGCAATAACGGTGTGAAAATCCAGGTTCCTACCAACATTATGTGTCAATTTGTTCGGATATATGAACAACTTGATTTAGAAGCACCAAAATTATCTCCATAAGTATCCCTTAAAGGCCCATTAAGCCTTAGATGTACACTGTTATATTTTTCAAAAACTCTTTTATTTATTGTCTGCTGTAACAGTTCTCAAAACGTTTCTTAATTCATGAAGTTGAAATATTCCCACCGGTCTTTCGTATAATACAAACATTAATGTTGACTGATTTATTTTGGAGTATCATACCTTTTGAGATTGATGTAAATTATTGAATTAGTATCACACTATAAATGTATATATTTAGAGTAACGTTTCAGAGTAATGGCGGTTCGCGGAGCGAACGTACAACATGGCACAAATCAGGCGCCATAAGATCTTTTATGAGAATTGTAGCTAGCAGCTAATTACATACTTACAATTTGAATAGTGTTGACAATGATTTAAATGTTCTACTTTTAGGCAACCTAGACATTTTTGACCAAACTAGTAACATTATTGTTTCACACTTATACACTTACAGAGACAAAAAGATTCATTTAACACTCAAATACATTACCATGATATTTCTATATTAAAGACACCTCCTAATCAATTTATTTCCCTCTTCACTTCCTTTTCATCTTTCTACTTCTTCTCAAATACTATTCTATTTGTATGTTTATATAAATATTTATTCAAACCAGTAATGTGTTCACTCTACATGTTTTGTTTGTTTGATTTGGGTTTAACGTCACACCGACACAGTATAGGTCATTTGGCGACGTTCTAGTTTTACTAGTGGAGGAAGACCTCAGATGCCCCTCCGTGCATTTTTTTTCAGGCACGGACGGGAAGCTGAGTAGAACCACCGACATTCCGTTAGCTAGCTGGATAGCTTCCTCACATGAAAGTATCCACAGTCCCTGTCGGGATTCGAACCCACAGCGGTGAGGGGCAAGTGGTTTGAAGTCAACGACCACTCGGCTACGGACGCCCCTCACTCTAAATATATAACCTATATTGTATACTATGTTTCGTGAAGCATTTAAGTCCATATTGTTGTTTTCTTTTTCGTTCTAATATGAACTTAAAATGATTTAAAAATACACTTTGTCTTTCTTTTTGATCCTGTTTAAAAAGCATACTTGAAATGCTTTGTGTATAATGTAAATTGAAACATGTATTCAGGGAAATAAAATATGTTTTACTAAAAAAAAACTAAAAACTTAAAACTTCCTTTTTTATAAATCAACATTGCTCGTTATTTTGGATCATTCACATATTAATGTAATAACATAAACCAGATTTTTTTTTAGAAAAGAAACCCTGTTTTTCAACTTTTTGCAAAATCGTATTCATGCATCTATATATTCAAACATCTTTATGAAGACTTTTATTTATTTGACACGAATTTCCATAATCAGATAAATCAGTACTATTGTTAACTATACCATTCCGCTGAGCCTTTCAATGAAGTTAAGGAAAATAATTTCTTCAAACCTGAAAGAAGATTGAAAATGTTTTCAAAAGACACCAAAGACACAATCACAACCCTTTGATTGCTATCTTTTGTTTTTCTAAAGCATCTACTTCTGTTTACGATGGTTATGGTTCAAAGCTTTTTTGTTTTTTTAGATTTGCACGGATACAATGATTGTTTAAACTATTTTTAAAGAAACAATTCAGTTTGTAACGACAATCCGTTCTTGAATCGTGAAGTAAATAAGTTATAAAATGAATTTGGATTTTATTTTTATTAACACATTTCTCCTTTCTGTATGTGTTTATGTTACATTAGGGGCTGACAGTTGGACTTGCACAGCAAATACAGATTCCAATGAGTCCACGTCTACCTGTAAAAATCTGGAGAAAAGGTTCAAAACACTGGAGATACAAATGAAGCAAGTCCAAAAGTTGTTGCAAACAAATGGGACAAATACATACACAACGATTGACGGAATTCCTAAAGGTACGAATACTATTTATCATCCGTTATATTGCAATTTGATACAATTAAAATGGATGTAAATTATAAATGTTTATTCTATTTATCCCTTACAGTCAGGTTGGTAACTTAAGGTCGGTATAGGGGAGCGTGAGGGTGTTGCACGTTTTAATTATCTCTCATGTACAGACTCATTCAAACCGACTCTGCAATTTGCATGTAAATTTGCTGATTTAAATGCTTGCGAGGGATCACTTTTTCCAGAAATGAATAATTAATAATTTCATTTACACATCCTCATATTGGAACATGTTAAGGCTATGAGCGAGGTTTGGCGCGCCTAAAATCTGTTTACACTCCCAATAGTGTTATTACTACTGATGTTTCATCGCGGCACACATCTGTGTTCTTGGAAGTATTTGTCTTTTGAATTGTGACATGCTTTTTTACGGTAACACGTTTTAATTATCTATTTTGTTAGTTGTCGTCCGGGGTAAGAATTTCCTTATAAGAAGTGAATTATCATCTCCGTATCGTTTTATTGAAAATACTTCTTCATTGTTGTAAATAATGATATATAGCATGCGAAAGGTGTATGAAACAATTAGTTCAAGCTATAGTACTAAACTATCTTCTTTTTGGAATTCAGACTGCGAAGCAATCTATGAAAATGGACCACGAACAGATGGTATGTACATGATCTCGCCTGACGGAAGATGTCCTTTTCTTGTTTACTGTGACATGAAGAATGGTGGCTGGACTGTAATACAAGTAAATAGTTCTCTTGTTTTAACATGTACTAAACTGGTATACAAATTTCAGCAGAAAAATTTTTTTTTTTTGGTTTTTTTTTTTTTTTTTTTTTTTTTTTTTTTTTTTTTTTTTTTTTTTTTGGAAAAACGGAATTTATGAAGTTAAATCGAGAATTACGAAGCTGAAACTAAATTCTGAAGATGTCGTAATTTATGAAGAGAATTGTAAATTTAAATCGTAATCAAGAATAAACTTTGTGAATTCTGAAGTTAAAATGTGAATTTTTTAAGTTTTAAACGTGAAAATTTATAAAATTGAATTGTGATTTGTGAAGCTGAAAACGTGGATTCCGAAGTTGAATTCGTGAAATGAAAACCCTGAATTTATGATGTTAAATATCCCAACCGGGTTTTCGTATGGCTTTTTGTTTCTATAGCAGTAAAGTGGTTGCTTAATATGTTTTCAGTGACCATTTTACCTATTTATCGTTTCAGTTTAACTCGTATTAAGTCAAAAATCATATTTGATAAAATATATTAAACAAAATTAATGAGAATATAGTTCTAGTCTATTTGTAGACGTTTAAAGTCACACATCTCCAGATGTGCCAAAATATTTTTAAAAAATCCTTCATGCCAGTTTTGAACAAATTGTCCTTTAAACGTTGTTTTAAAATTGCTAGAAACATATCAATATCTCCTACACTCTGCTGTAACTAGACATCATAAAATCCTAAAGAACATAAAAGTTGCTTTAATTTCGAACACCAGTTTACTATATTTGGGTTATTTTCACTTTTCAACAATTAATAAACTCTACTAACATATTTGTTTTCATTACTACACAATATTATCATCCAAAATTTTAAAATATTGAAAAGATGTCTACAATGAAAAGATAAATAGTATTTAAATTCGTATACGAACTTATTTATCATATACAATTCAATCAAAAATGTTTAAATGCGGTCCTGTGTTCATGAGAAGGACGGTATTTTAAGGAATAGTTCTAGTCTATTTGTAGACTTTTGAAGCCACACATCTCCAGATGTGCCAAAATATTAAAAAAAACATTTTTTTTAGAAAACATTATTTTAAGAAAAAGTAAAAATATTTACATTTCAAGAAACAAGTTGCATGTTATATGCAACAAATGACTGATTTTGCAGTATTTATCACCATATTTCTACAGCGTGACTTACGCAGGAAGGACTATTTTTTTGTATATTGTGACCAGTATTTGGCATTTTTGTATATTTTAAATGCGATTTGCTATGTCTAAATTACTTACTTTGTTTACTTGCCTGTTTTAATACATTTTAATTTTCTGATGTAAATTGACACGATTCCTGATGCATATTGCTTAAATGTAACAATAGGTCAATAGATAGTTACTGACTCATTACCTTGTCAAATCGCCCGGTTTATAATTTTTTGGGCTTTATATGAAATAATTTTATATCTTTCTTGTTTAGCGGCGTATTGATGGTCGTGTCAGCTTCTACAGACCATGGGATGGTTACGTCTCTGGGTTTGGTGATCTTGACGGGTCGTTTTGGCTTGGCTTAGAGAAAATCCATCGCCTAACAAGAGACGGAAGTCAAATCTATTTTGATATGGAAAACTATGACGGTTCAAGAGATTATGCCCATTACAATGTGTTCACCGTTCACGAAGCAGCGACTGCATATAGAATGAATGTGGATGCCTTTGGATACAGGGGTTCTATCAGGGAGCTCCTAAGTTACCATAACAACCAAAAATTTTCTACCTATGATAGAGATAATGACGCAAACACCAATGGTAATTGTGTTATAAGCCATGGAAGAGGTGGATGGTGGTACAACACTTGCTACATGCTTGGCAACTTGAACGGAATTTACGGGAAAAGGGAGGTTGGAGGTGTTGGTTATTACGACGGTGATCATTTACAGATTAAGAATGTTGAAATGAAAGTGAAAGCTATGCACGGTGTTTGTTAGTTACATGCCATTTTATTCAACAGTTTTATTGCACTTCATGTATGTATTTAATGTGGGGGCATATTAATTCCGAGTTTGTCCATACATTATTATAATCATTACAAGAACAGCTACGAATCTATCTAAAGAAAGTAATTTATTCTTTTTCTCTCTGTGTCCAATTTTTATAATACTTCTCTAACATTAACTATATAATATATAATTGTTTATATCAAAATGACGTAAATGGTATGGTTTTCACTCTTTAGCAGATTTATCAAGAAAACTGCGAATATACTGTTAAATAACTCTATTCTTTTAATGAATATTTCATAGGTTAATAAAAAACTATTCATGATATTCATTGAATGTGCAATACTTCTATGACAGTTACATAATTTCCCCACGAAGAACATGATATTTGTGCAAATGGTATGTTCGTTATGCGACTATAGTACATGTACCTTAACTTTCTTTCTGACTAAAGTTTATTTTATTTATACCTTAAGCTATTTTAATATGTTAACAACTAATTAAAGTGTTTTCATAATGGCCTTGTTATAAAGCTGCAGACTGACATATTAGCCTAAGGCTAAAGGCAATTATATTAATTAACTACACATAATCTAAAAATGTACTTAGTGAACTATAAAATTCTGTTGTTGTGAGGTATTGGTAATGAGATTCTTGTTTTTAAAAAATTTCTTGGAATTCTACCTTGAAGAAATTTAAAATGGCGACTCTTTCCAATGAAAAAACAAAACAAAACAAAAACAAAACAAAAAGAAACAACAACAAAGAACAACAGATTCAGAAGGCCAATCAAATTTTCTTCAATCTCATAATAGTGTACTTTTTGCATACTGACCTCGTTTTATGTTCATTATGCCGTGGTGAACTTCATAATTATTTGCCTTACTTTGAAGTGTTAACGTGCCAAATATTTAAAAGTTGATTTAAAATCACATATAGTCGTCAGATTTTATTGAAGAAATGCGTCAATAATGACACAATCAGTGGACATGTTTGCAATTAAACATATCTGTAGTAAAGAATACCAACCATTTTATAAGCTTGTTGAGGAAAATAGTGCCTTACCTAGATATGTGTACAAATGTTTAAAGGATGAATGCATTTCTGATTATGTGAAAGATACAACTTGCTATGGAGTGTTTGATAAGTATTGTTCACAAGTTTTAACAAAAATATCTGAAGTAAAAGATAAGTTACGCTAGAAGACTAAGAAAAACAGAAGATTCCAATTTGAACATGGCATAGTTTGAATATCATTAAGAATATTCATCACATTAAAATCACGTATATTTCAATCTTTATGAACTTAACAATACTTTGAATATAATAACAGATAATCTCTTTCGTACCAGACTTTTTTACTATTTTTTTTGAAAACGTATTGATTTAGTGTCCATTCCGTTTTCCTGTAATTAAAGCTTTTGAAAATAAAAACTTAAGTGCTTAATTGATTTACTTTTTTCTGTTATGTGATTTATATAAAGTGTTTATATTATGAGGTTTGAAATTAAACAATAGCATAGCTTTACTCTTGTAACTTTTCCCAACACTAATACTTCTTTATGGAATGTGACTTCAAGCTGTATTATTTTTGTTTCAAGCATAATATTCGAACGCTTGGAACTTATGCAAACAAAGCGAAGGAAAATATGAAAGGGTACGTTTTCCAAAAGCTATTTATCTTCATGTTAATAGGATGATTAGAAACAAATGATTATTCAATAGAATACACGCCGGTACCTTAACTACTTTGCATGCGTGTATCGCCATCAATTTTAAGTAAATTCAGGAAAGTTGTTTCAAGAAAATATAAATACAAAAAAGAATAATACCATTTTTTTTTGAACAATTAATGCATTTTTACAGACCTGAGGTATGCGTTTGAGGCTCATGTCAAAACTTAACTGTTTATCGTGAAGTTGTATGAATAACGTATCATATGAGAAATGCATAAATATTTGGATAACAAAGATTTTTATATTTTCTTGTCTCAGCCTGAAGCTGAAACATATGTTTCGGTCGAGCTTGTATATATCTACACATGAACGTTAAGGTGCATAAATTGGGGATTTATTTTTTATCTCCCCGTTCCCATAAACAGTTGTATAATTTTCCCCGAACTGTAAGTATTATTAAATTTTATGGTCCTTCGGGACCAATCTTTATGCCTCCTGGTGAGTCAAAACATTTTACGAAAAAAAGAGAAAAATAATGTATTATGACATTTAGAAACGTAAATATATCAAATATTTAAGTAATAATTTACATGTTATGTCCGATTAATGACTGATCATGCAGCACATGTATATATATATTACTACTGTGTGACTAACGCATACTCAGAAGAATAGTGATGAGTACAGACTTTCTCCATGAAAAAAGTATAGAATATTTTCTTTTACGATATAGGTTTTGTTTGTTTGTTTGTTTGCTTAATTTTACGCCTTTTCCCAACAGTATTTCAGTCATATAGGCGGGTAGTTTCCTAACCATCGTTCCTGGAGAGTTACACCAGTACTAGACTATCTTCCTCCGCGCTAAACTACCAAAGCATCTCCCGGGGATCGAACCCGTGCCAGAGAGGTGAAATAACCTTGAAGGTTATCATATATCTTGCTTTAATTTTCCAATCTCAAACAAACAGCTCATCTAAGGAGTCTTTTAAACATGATTCCTTCATTAATTACGCGGCTTTGTTTTTCATCTTCTGACGTTTTCTTATATCAATGCTAAAGATCAGATTCAATCAGATATAATTATTAGTTTTCCTTTAGTGTCTTTCAGTTTACTTTAATGAATGAAATATTTTCTTCCTTCTTTGAAATATGTTCTAACACAGTAATGATTCCGATACCGAATTTACTGTGATTATCGCAAAGATACAAAAGAAATAAGAAACAGATTTTGTTTTGAAGATAAACAGTAAGCCAGGTTGAAATAAGTATTCTTGTAGATTCCATAATTATTGTTTATTTTACATCTTATATTCCAACTAATTTGAAATATAGGAAAGCTGAAGCCAAATAGCAATTATACTGTATGGTAGAAGGATTTCCTCTTCAAATGAGGAAGTATGCCAACTTGATTGGTACCATATTTATAACTCTTTCCATAGTTACTCAATTCGATATATAAAAAAGAAACTTATCGCCCTCCTTTTAAATGAAGCCATGAAGATTTTTTTTAAATGCCTTGAATATAACTAAATATGCATAATCACTGTCTTTCCTAATTCATTACTTCTTAGTTTAAATTATATCCTTAAGAAACGTTTAAGATTGATGATGATAATATAGACCATGTAGACGAAACAGTGTTTTATTTATATATATTTTAAAGCATTGTCAAATTCAAATAAGTGGGTTTAAAGTACAATGTATTAAAAGTGTGTTCACGTTTTTTTCTACAATAAATTGTTCAATAAAGGAAACTAAAAAAATCAACTTTTAAGAATAACTTTTAAAGAAAAAATGTCCTTAATTTAATATTGTGTTCGTGGTTTCGTTTATTCCACACCCTTTTTCCCCGACTTAAGTCGAAGGTGGGTAAACTTCAATTAGTTTGTCTGACTTTTAAACTGTACTCGTTGAACCTCATATGGCCCAATGAGCAATATTTTACAAATGATTTATACCACCGGTCGTATGTTTGCTACAGGGAAGATGAAATAGAGTCTGCGACTAAAAACCTCACAATGGTTTGCTAGTCAGTACCAAATCATACACATTTTTTCCAGAAGAAAAAGAAAAGAAAAAAAAGAAGAAGAAGTTTGACATTGCACTGAATCTAAATCATGATATCAACAAGCTGCCAGTAAATAGACCACATTTTCAAAATTAAAATGAATTATTGCTCTATGCATTGCTTATAATGCAGATTGATATTAATTAGTACTTGAAGAGATCGACCAAATAGATAGAATGTGGAACTGATCAGTGGACATGCTCAGCATGTAAATGCATGTACAATAACTTAGTTGATTAGAAAATCTCGTCATTCAATTTTGCCTCATAACATTTATTTATTATATTATGATAAGTGGATTTGACACAGATAAATGCGAAAGGCGAAAACACGATAATTGGCCAATTAATCAAGAGTTCGTGTCGTCGTGTCTTCGCCCCAAACACACTCAAGGAAAACGTTTTGAAAACTGAAAATAGTATCAGTTCGTAATAAGTTGTTGATATACAAAACCAAGATTTATGTTTCGTGTGCTTAGTTTTCGTAAAAAAGACGTGATAATTGGTACGACTTGTATCAATGGGATTTCATTTTAGATGCTTGCATATATTTGTGTTCTAGTAAAAAACAAATAGTCATCTATAATCCACTTTTTAACATTGATATTTTTTAAATTAGCAATAATTCTATTTTCTGTCTATAAGGAACAAATATGTGTTGAACAAGAGTCACCGCTTATCTCAAATATCATTATACTAAAATAATGTTTCAGTCAAAAAGTTATTTTATGATGCACACTTATTTTTATATTAAATAAATCTTAGTTATATTCTAGTTTTTAATTAGATTGCATAACATTTTCGCACAATTGCCGTGTAATATTTGTTTTTATCGTATTATCTTCAGTAACATCACAGTAAAGAAACGTACTTCCCACTCAGTGACATTAAAGTAAAACAAGATTTATATAACTTTGTTTTAAACTTATCCATTCAAATAAATATGTATTTTCATATCAAACTACGTGCCTTTTACTAAAGCTCAGAATATCTATTTTTGGTTAACATTATACGCATTAACACATAATGGCAGTATTCCTAAAATAGTATCTATCTAGCAAAAATATCGGATTTAAGTCAAACCAAGAGCTGATTGGCTCAATCAAGTGTATCTACTTTTTAAACCTTTTGCTGAAATATAAGTGAGATACACCATCAAATTATGGCGATTTCGTGACATTAAAAAATAATATAGTTGTCACTGCGCTTTTACGAAATTAATTAATTTGTTTACACTTTATAATGTCACGGAGCTTGATGATTATTTATAACTATTTTTACAATGGTCTAAATATCAAATGCCGAAGATACAAAAATGAACTTTTCAGGAGAAGGAAATAACTATCATTTCAAATAATAAAAGGGCAAGAAAGCTTTCTTTTCTAATTTATATATCAGTATTCAATGTGGTTTATGACGGTAAAAGTTAAATATTCCTTTTTATTGGAGAAGCGTAATTAAAGCA